ATGCACTGTCCACAATCATCCTACAACTCATGAAAGCTTCGACGTACAATGGCGTAATTTTCAATCCACAAGAATATGAAGAAAAGCCATCGAAATATAACAGACATCCCACTCTGGGTCTTCACAATCTCCATTCTTCCTTCACAATCTTCCTTCACAATCTCTTGACAAGCCACCTCCATCAACTGATTTTACTGCATGCAGAGATGGCTCAAAGATCGAAAATAAGGTAGGAAGCGGAGTCATCATAAAAACAAAAACAGGCCTTCACTCTGAATGGCAAGGTTACCTTCGGCCGCAAAACAGCGTATATCAAGCAAAGCTCATAGCCATACTAAACAGCATTATGCAACTTAATAACCTAAATACAGATACCATCCATGTAATCACTGACAGTCAGTCTTCCATACATGCCATCAAACAACAGTACACAAGTTCTCCTATAGCCCGGCAAATTCAAGACATCATAAGCACAAGTAATAAGAAATTTGTCTTGTCATGGACCAGAGGGCACAAAGCCTGTGAAGGCAATGAAAGGGCCGATTATCTAGCAAAACAGGCAGCACTAGAACAAACAGGATCTCAAATTCATATCCCATGGCCTAAATCAGCATTAAAGTACAAACTAAAACAAATGGCGAATGAAAAGTGGCAACGTCAATGGGAACAAGGACCACAGAGACGACGTACATTCAAACTACTACCCAAGGCTGATGAAAATATCACAATTTCAACCTACTTTCTCACCCAGTACATCTCCGGTCACGGTCCATCCCCCAAGTATTTTTATGATCGCAATATGGCTACATCGGATAGATGCATATGCGGGGAAAGCAGTGACCCTGAACATTACATGTTTCAGTGTCCACTAATGTCAGTCCATCACATTTGCCATCCCACCGACACTGGAATAGAATTTAGAAGATTCATTACTAAGCACCGTAAAGTTTTCCAAAACATCAAAAGTATTATTGATTTCTTATACCGCCAAGGACTAGACATGTGTCACCCATAGCTTATAACCCCAAATAATCCTCTAAGTTCATAAAACACAACAATAAGAGTATCCACTCTCACCCTCATACTATACAGGAGTGCCTTTAGAAAACACACTTAAATATATCCATTTATTGAGACAACCGTTTTCTCATACTATAAACTATGAATTACTTCATACTGTGCAATGTGTGACAGATGCACCAGTACTACATACTCGACACTATGTACCATGAAATGAATTCATAAACTGTATGCTGTACTATGAACTGCACTATGAATGAGAACTTATAAACTGTGAATTGTGTAACAAAAAACCAAACAAACAACGAACCACATAGCATAAACATTCCCCCCCCCTGGCCAACAAAGCTCCAAACCGAAACACAAAAGAATTATGTATATACATTTGTAAATAACTTATTGTAGTTATCCATTGTAATTATTGTATCTATCCATCAAATTGCAAAGTAGCCGTGTAAAGTATATCTAAGACAATATTGTCTGCAATGCAAATTATGCACCATTAATATATTTGGTGGTCGTGTGTGCTTAATGCATGATATAATTAAAGAAAATAAGAGTAGACAATCTCCTATAACAAAAGAATATATTAAGTACTAAATTTACTAAATTACAATTTAAATTACATTGCAGAGATCAACACAGAGCTCGGAACACAGTTCGTGCTAGCGTCGCATACACTTGTCCGCCAAGAAGTCTGAGTGAGTAAAGATGTCGCTTTGCTGCTCCGATTAAGAACTGGATTTTACACGTGGCGCCATTTCATGAATAGAACGTTGAAGTATCTGTCGGAACGCCACATATATAACTGTGCATTATGAATGCTGCAATGTAAACTAAACTAATTCCCGAGCATGGTGTTAACATTGCTCAGTCAGGGTTACTTCTATAGATGGTTAGTGCAGTGGGGCGATACCCGTTTTGCTCATGGCGATGTTTTCGTGCCTCCTGTACTTCTTTCTGTCTGTCTGCTTTGGCACCTTTCCACCCCCCATCGTCCCCCGTGCATTTTGTCTTTAAGTCAGTTCACCCTGCCCCCAATTCTATGCTGATAACGAATCAAGCAAAAGAACTTGCAGCTTGGGCACGATATATTGGTTACCCAAACAGGGAAAAAAATTAAATTAATTCTCCTAACTGTAATGTTGCTAAGAACTAAATAATGACTTAAAAATCAAAGTAACTGCATTTTTCTAAATAACAACACGAATAAATCAACAGTTAAAGAACCCGGCTTTAATGAAAAGCCGAGTTCTTTAAATTCTTCTATTTAATCTTTTAAATAGAAGCTTAATTAAATGAGAATTATTTTAAAAAGGAATGGATATTTAAACAATTGAAAATGAGCAATATAGTTTTAAAATTTCCATTAAAGCTAAGATACATAATTAAAATGACTGAAAATCTAATACAGTCTGTAACTTTTGGAACCAACGAACAGTAAATTTGAGATGACATCAGAGGTGATGTGAGCATGCATAACTATAATGTCACAAAAACCACGTGTTCGCTGACATCATTTGTGACTGCTTTAGTCTTCTTTTGCTACTTTAGTTGAAAAATTTCTGGCAACATTGTTCTGCCTATTGGTCAAATTGCTTGTTTTTCCCTAGAAATTATAATTTTAATTGCAAAAAATTGTTTTATTAACTGTTTTAACAGTATTTGCAGTTTTAGGTTATTCTGCATTTTACAATTTTTAATGAAGATGTTTTGAGTTTTTGCATATTTTCGCCTTGCTGCAAAGTGAGAAACAGATTGAATGAAAAATATAACTCTAACGAGATACAGGGAAATAAATTTAAATGAAGTGCAGCAAAATTTTGATGTCAACATCATATTTTTTTTTTTCCTTTGGGGAGAGACTGAGTTTTTGAATTCCTAATTTTTGAATACATATTTCAGTCAGTAAACTTATATGTTCTGAAGCTATTTATTTGTAAGAAATGTGTTTAATATGTTATCATCACTAGCCAAATAATCAAAAGAGTTTGTGACTGATACTATAATTTTTATCTTTCTACAGAGGGTGTTAACACACTTTAAGAGAAATTTGGATAAAAAACTTTAAAATGCAGATGTTTTGGAATAAAGCTTATTATTTGAAAAGAGAAATATCATATGCTACCTTTATATTTATTCTTCTTCCAAAATGTCACCTGTTAAACAAGCTTTGGGTTGAAGAATATGTTTTTGCACTTTCCGTAGAGAAATATTCCTATTCTGTAATTAAGAAATGTAGTGAAATGCATAGTATTAAAATTTCAAAGTGCAAAATAAGCAACTTTATTGTCAATCATTACTTATATGTAAAAAGGAGACTCCAAACAAACACCCCCAAAATAAGCCTACTCTTTGTGTTTCTAAATTTAACTTGCTGGTAACAAGAGAAAGTACGGTGATGTAGAAACCAATTGAAAAGTCTTTAAATAAATCTTTAGCAAGAATAAACAAAATAATAAACCACGATTTGCAACTTAAAAAGGCTAAAAAACATAATGCTCACTAGTTTTTGCCAAGGCAAGTGGCTCATTGCAGAATGATTTGTAGAATCCTGTTTGAAAACTATTTAGCAGGAGATAAATGGAAATATATTGTAACTGTTGATGAATCATGGGTTTACCTAAATGACTGCAGGAAAAAAGATCTATTTATTATTGAAAACAAGGAATAAAGTGTACAAACCTGGCACTGTCAGTGAATTTCAGTAAGAAAATTTCAGTAATGGGTTTATGACTGTTGCGAAATTCTCTTACAATGGAAAATTAAAAACAAGAAGAGCAGAAAAATATTTTAAATCAATTCAACATTCTATCAAGAGAAAGTTTCAAGTCTAATATTTACAGAAAAACTTTTCTGTACCGTAGTGACTTTTTACAAAGAGTGAAACTTCATCAAGACAAATTAACAAGTCATACTTTTAAAAGTATGACTGCATTCCTTAAAAAAATGAGGCCTGATACAGATATTGCATATGTATCTTTTCAACAAGTTCCTACAAAGTCTCATGATGTCCTCCCTATGGAGGGACCTTTGGGCTTTTGAAAAGAGCTCTTTCTAAATGCAAACTCACCAAGTTTGTACTCTGGAAAGTGATGAAGAGAAATAGAAATCTATACCCCTGGAAATTTTTATAAAAGGCTCTTCTATCATGGAAATAATGATATCAAACATTTAAAAATTACTCATTACCTTTTAAATATTAATTGAACGACATACTCTGTACTTTTATTTTCAGAATAAATAAAAGTATCATTGTAACATTCTAAAAAAATTTTTGATAGAAAGCTGTTTCATTTTATAACAGGATATGAAAAATGTATAGAATTCTGCTACTGTCACATAATTTCTGTGTAGTTAAGTAACCAAATTTCTATTCAAAAAGCCACATGATATACCTGTGACTTTTATCACGCATTATGATATACATGTGGCTTTTATCACATGTGGTTAACTTTTAATCATTACTTTTTGGGGGTGGAATACTGCAAAAAAAATTATAATATTTTTTTTCTCCCTTTAATTCTTCATTAAAAATCCATTAAGAAGTCTGTAATAATGAAGAATTTTTTTTTTTGTAAATCTTATTTGATATAAGAGAGTTAAAAAAAATTTTTAGGGGAATATAATTAGAGGAATTGTATTCAATATGAAATAAAGCTATATTAGTTGTATTAGAAATTTTTTAAATATGTTGTTATACTAAAAAAAAAAAAAAAAAAAAAAAAAAAAAAAAAAAAAAAAAGATACAGTCAGACATACTTAAAATTGCATTTGAAAGTCTTTTAAATTTAGATTGGTAGCACTGTTTATCTCATTAAATTATGGTTCTTTTTGCAATATTGATCATCATTTTTAATAGCTTTATTGCTTAACATTCATACTTATGATATAGTTTCCCCACACACAATTTGCTTTTTCTATAATAATGTAATCTAATATTTTAACTCATATTAAATGTGAAATTATTTACATTTAAGGTGATAACATTGGAGCAGTATTTCCTGCTATGCCTGTAAATTCTTCAAATTTGTTGAAAAAACCTGATTGGTGTGGAGAACAAAATATGTTTAATTTTGCTGCAAATCTGTATATGTTGCTGTATCTGAGGCTATCTGGTCAAAGACACTTACAGACTGAGAAGCTGGTTTTTAAATATTTAAATATTGGTAAGTTATTAAAAAAGTTTTTTAAATATTGGTGAGGTGAAATGTTATTTGTTAATGATTATAACCATGCATGAAATGAAACAAGTTTCTTTTTTAAGGTTATTTGTAATTTGTAATAAAATTTATTTAGTTGTGTCATTCAATTCATTACTTTTTATGTATCTATGTTATATTTAAAATATCAACTATTAAAAATGTTAAAGTACTAGTAGAAGTACCCACTGTCAGTTAAGATAGATAGAGAGTAATGTATCTAACAACAGAGAGAAGGATACCACTGTAATCCTTCTTTAATATGATTCATAGTCATACATTTTTCAGTCTCATGCGATATGGAACCCACATAAAAAATTTCGATAGCAAAATAAACTAATTTTCTCTCATTATATTAGCAACAATGTTACACAGTTTTTAAAGATTTCTGCCTTTCTAATCAAATGGTCATAAAAGCTCAAGTTCCATCCATATTTCAATTTCAATTTCTTCAATTCCTATATTCAATTTTAGTCGATTAAATGAGGCAAAAAATTTATCATAATTGATCAGAAATCAATAACACGAACAAACAAACAAACAAACATACATTCTTCTTTATATGTATAGATTTTGTAAAACAGATTTTTTATTAGCGAACTGTATGATTTAAAAGCAAGCAGTAGCAATATGTTTCAAAATAAAGCATTTTTATCTCCAATGTGCAAGACTGCTGCCACTCGGAAAAACGAGTGCGAAAATTAGTGCTTTCAGAGTTTTTAATTAACATTTCGGCTGCCTAAAGTCATACGATGATGGGAATAATCGAAATGGTTTTCCATGAATTTTTGAACTAGGTAATAATGTATTTAATGTTTGGCAATGCTATTTTTATTTCATTGTAAAACTTAGAAATTTTTCATTAACAAACTCTAGGATTTCAAAGCGAGCAGTGGCTACAACTTTTGAAATAATGCAATTTTTCATCTAAGGCTTGCGAAACTGTTACCACTCGGAAAAGTGAGGGCGAAAATTATCGTTTTTAATTAATAGCTCTGATTTCAGCTACTTTTTTTTAAAAAAAGTGTACGTCGTCGTTTTCTTTCCCAGGACCCAGAAAAGAATTGTAGAAAGTTTGGTAATGAAAGCTATAGTTGTGACTGAGTTATTAGAGAACAAACACACACACAAACTTTCTTTTCTCTCTTTCTCTATATATATACAATACAAAGTCTTTAATCCGGACGTCCATTATCTGGAATGATCTATAATCTGAACCTCAAAGCCACAAACTTATGCATATGCATAATGCATTTACGCATATGCATTTGATGTGTGCCCCCGCTGCGCATGCACTTAAAGCCAGTAAAGCGTTTGCCCATGCGCGCTTCCGATAGTGAAGAAAGTAACAGAGAACATTATTGAAAACGAAAAAATTTCGATTGACAAGTTAGTCGGTATTCTCGACACAGCAATTACAGGACCTTAAACAGTGGAACTTTGTAACTGAACAAGAAATTATGTTTGTTTATAGAATTAAAGAGAAAGTATTAGCACAAAAAATGAAGCAACTTGAACAACTTAGACTGATAGAAATGTTTACTAAAGTAAACAAATAAATATTAAGCTTTCTTTTTTGTAAATTTTGATACCCTTTAGATCATGATTGCTCTTTATCTCATAAATTACGGTTTCATATTTTTAATTGTATTATTTCTGCATGCCATCTTACCAGATTTAAATTGATGATATATAATCCAGAAAAACCCCGAATCCGGAATCGCCGAAGTCCCGATGAGTCTGGATTACGGACTTTGTACTGTATATAGATTCTGACACAAGTTAGAACATTTTTATCTTCTATTTTGCATGGCTGCATTTCCTAAAACAGAAAATTACAGAAACTGTGATTATTTGCTATAGATGATCATGATTTAAAATTTTGTGATATAACTTTTGGTATAATTTAAAAAAAAAAAAATATAGCCATTCATGCGTTAGTTATTTTTAAACCATTTACTGTCATTTTTCTTATGTTACTTGATTATAAACATTGCAAACTGAAATTGTAATGTTTATAACGGATTATATTGTTAAAAGAATGAAATTGTTTGCTGTAGGAGAGCTAGAGGCTATTTGTAGCAATTTTGGGGAATATTTATATTTTTAATGCATTTACACTTGCATTTATAATTGCTATTTTTAATGCATTTATAATTGCTAATTTATGTACTGGGTTGCCTGAAAAGTCATGATGCATTTTTTTCTGTGTTCTTCAAAGGTCCTTTATTTATATAAAGAATATACATCACTGGGATGTAATGCAGTTCCTATATGATAAATGAGCTCTGGAAATTTATGGACAATGGATTCATTGAAACTGTCCAGTTGGTGACAGCATACATTCAAACTATTAGTTAGTTCATTGGTAAGAGATGTTAAACAAGACCACATTCAAGTTTGATCACTAACAATACTGGAGTTTTAATGAAAAGTGGTGCAGTGCATATCATGTTCTCCTGATCTTGTGCCTTTAGACTTTTCTTTCATGCCATAATATTCATTTCAGACGCATTTCAGACTGCCATAAATCAGTACATTCTGCAGCTTCTCACTGCTAAAGCTAGGTTCTTTTGTGAATGAGAAATTATGAAACTCATTAAAAGAAAGTAAAAAGTTATCCAATAAAATGGGCAATGTCCTAAAGACTGCTCAATGTTCTTTATATAAATGAAGCACCTTTGAAGAGCATAGAAAAAATGAGTCATGTCTTTTCAGACAATCCAATAGCATAATTATCCCTTCTGTTGACTTTAACACAATATATATATTTTACATAAACTACTTGTCTGTTGTAACAAACTTGCGGCAAGTAGTAACAATAAGAAAGGCAATATTAAAAAAATATATGGTTATATTTTATAGCTAGATGTAGTGATATTGTTTGATATCAAGTGGTTTATAGTAAAACAAAGATAAAATTATTTAACCAACTAACATAACTGCTAGTCTTATCTGAATTTCAGTTAATACAAAAAAATGATAAATTGTTTCCTCTCACACATTTAGCATGCACCTAAGTTTTGCAAACTAAGCATTGACCCATTCTTCATTGTCAAAGCTGCCATAAGCATCTTCACAAGTTAAGCAAACCAATTTTCTATTTCAGAAACTGTATCTGAGTTCAAAATCTTCATCTTCACCCATTTTATCTCTTTGTTTTTTGTATTTTTTCTTTAACTTTGCCCTTTCTTTATTTTTCTCTTCTTTTTTCTATTTTTATTAATTATCTCTTCACGAGATCAGTTGTTCTTTTTAGGGTGCGTCAGTTAAAGCAGATTTCCTTTTGCACCAGCCCCTGTTAAACTGCTTCTAAAGTGAAGCCTTAAAGAGATGTCTAATATTTGAAAGTGAAAAATAGATTTTTATATTTTTGGAAAGAAAACTAAATTTAAAAAGTAATTTTCATGTTCACATTTATAAAGAAGAAAGTCTAACTATTTGAATTAAAATCTCAGGCCAGTTGTTAAATTTTGTTACACCTTACCCTATTGTATGGTTTTGGATGTTTTTATTGATTTATAAAAAAAGTATTGTGAGCAGTATTTTAAAACTTAATATATAGACAAAATAAGCAAGTGAAATCTTTTTAGAAAAGGTCAAAATCAAAATTTGTGAAATATTCCCCTTCCTCCCCCCATTAACTAGCTAAAGATGGAGCAAAATGCACGCAACCTCTCGCTACCCATTTCAGTGGGCATTGGTTATACTAGTACTGATCAAAACAATGTTGCTTAGGTAAAATTTTAAAAACCACTCAGTAACATGCATGCGACTATTTACCTTTGTTACAGCTAGCTGCTAGCTCCCCTACTTAATTATGAAATAAAATTATTTTATTTACTTTTTAATTATTCTGTTTACTTTTTAACAATAATTTTAAAATTTTATTTCTTCATGCTTTTTTCTAAAAGTAGATGTAATTATTGCTAGTTAAATAAATAGTTTTCGATTATATGATTTTTTATATGCAATAATTAACAATTTATATGAAAACTAAAGGTTGAATCTATGTTGTAAAAATTACAACTGTCAGCAATTTATAAGCCTTAAGCCATTTTGATGCTTAAACTCTTGTTTTAATTGTTATTATACAAAAAGTATATGAAATGTAAGGAGAAGGAAGTATGAATAAAATATTCCCAAGAAAGTTCTTCCATTATTCTTTACAAAAAAAAAAAAAAAAAAAAAAAAAAAAAACTGACATAATGCAAAGCATTGAGTGGAAGATGATTTCTTATGACAACAGCAGTTAGCCATAGGATTTGAAAATTTAATAACATAAGGTATAAATTCCATTTATTCATGATTATCATTTGTTAAAATTTGAAAAGCATCAAAATCAAAAGGTTAATATCCATTGTTACATTTAATTTTTGGCAGATTAATTTGGAATATTAAATATAAAGTAAAAATTGCATTGTTTATATTGTCAACTCTGTGGCATTTTAATATCAGTCTTCTAAAAATTGTTTGTTACAATTCCATAACACTGAAAACCCTTCCTCCCACCCCTGAAATTAGAAGTTTAAAAAATAAGTGTGCTATTATAATTATTTCTTATATCAAAAGTTAAATGAGCTTTACACTTAAACTGAAATTATTTTATGATATTGAATTTAGGTTACCAAAGGCAATTGAGCTATCAACTTAGCGATGGCTCCTTTTCACCCTTTCAATGGGATGCATATCCTAGTGTGTGGTAAGTGTAAACTGATGGGAAAAAAATCACATTTATTATTTTAATCACTATTTTATATCTAATTTAAAAATTTTTGAAAATTTATTTAATGCAGAAATTTTTGTTTAAATTCCAATTAAAAAATGTTTTGCAAATTTTTCTTTCATTATACATGTTTAAGACTTTTATATATAGTATATATTAAATTTTTATAACTGCCTTTTGAATCCAACTTATTCCAGTTGGTTACTTTTAAATACACTGTCCTCCAAAAGTTAAGGAACAGCATGTTTTTTGTGTCTAATTTGAGAATGAAGCAACATAGAAACAAGAAATTTACAGGACATGTTCACTAAACAGGTCTTTAACCCTTTTACGACTTCGCACCTTTGTTTAAGACGCTCGTGCGAGATGGAAGGGAAGTGAAGGCAGTCAACGTACAGGATGGAGGTTTTGCATCGCTAAGCCTAATTTTATGGGGGAAAAAAAAAAAAATCAGAAAAAAAAAAAAAAGAGTTTCACTTCTAGCATTGTAGTTTTTGGTATCATTTTAGATTATTACTTGAGCTCTTATATATGTTAAAATTAGCACTTAATAGCCTTTTTTTCTTTATTTTACATGAAAATATAGTTAAAAAATTGCTTATCTTGTAAAATAATTTTCGGAAACGCTATTCAAATTATTCCAAAGTTTTAATTGATAAAATTCATCAATGAAGTTTAAAATTAATAAAACAACACAATAAAGACTATTTACTGTAAGAAGTAACAAAATTTAAAATGAAGACTGAGTGTGGTAAATGTTGAAGCACAGAGAAGTGTCATTTTCTTAAAAAAGTATCACTTTCTAACTCTTTAGAAAATGAATCATTACTCTCATCTGTGTTATTAAATGGTTCATTAACCATATGAGGGTATTCTTCCTCTGATAAATATCGCCTTCCCGCTATAATAGACTGGAGGTGAGGCTATCCGAAATAAAAAGAAAAGAAATAGAAATATATCTGAAGGCAATGCAAAACGTAACAGAACTCCACATAGTAACCCTAAAAGACCATACATAGTAGAGGGAAAAAATAGAATAAAAAAAAAAAAGGAATTAGATATAAATCAGACACGTGAATTTTTTATATTAGCACGTGGCAATTTAAATTCGATCAGCGAAATAGCGATTCTTCTTTTTGCGCTTTCCCTCCCCCACCCCATCCTCACAACATTTGATGAGTAAAATACCAAAGTCAGGCGGAATATATCAAACTCAAGTTCATGAACCTAAAACTGTGTTCATTTCTAAAGTAATGGACATAGGAGGCCATCTAGTGGTCTTCAGAAAAACGTTCCAGCTTAAAATGCATATACACATCACCCGTCCTCTGAATGCAATCTCTAGTGATGTGTGGACGAGACACTCAGCTGTAAGAGTAGTTCTTAGGGAATGCGTATACGGGACCCCGTCGTGAAAGGGTTCATGAATGTGACATAGAATGTTTCTAAAGTTCAACACAAACGTGAATTACGGCAAAAAATTTATCTCATGTCAGCGAAATCCAGTCTTGGAGAAACAGTATATCCCAGTTTTTGAGGAAAAATGGAGTGGTAACAATACAGAAATGGGTTCTAATAAGGAATGTGTCTACCCCTAGCTGCAGTACATTGTTGACAGCGATGTTCCATGTTGTCAATTAAGTTGTCAGTCAGTGAAATGGGAAGCAATGACCAGACACCGAGTAATCCTTGTTCAAGTTCATTATCTAACAACCTTGGAGAAGGACTGAAGCAGAAACCTGTCTCCCAAAGATGCTCTATCTGAGTCAGGTCTGGGGATTCAGTTGGTCTTTCCATCTGCTCCATACCGTAACCCTCAAGATATTCTTCAGCAACCCAAGCTTGGTGCGGTCGCGCACTGCTGTCCGTCAGAATAACTCCAGGACCAATAGCAGCAGCATATGGGTAAACATATTGATCAAGGATTTCGTCTCGATATCTCACATCGATCAAAGTTTTTCCTTGCAGGTCAGTGTGACCACTGAGAGAGATCCCAGCCCATCCAATCGATTATTCCACCACCTCTGTAACTGTGTTTTTCCACAATGTGGGATTGGTTGTATTTGGTGCGTTGTTCCCTCCAGATCAGCTGACAACCTGAATCACTCTCCAATGTGAACCTGGACTCGTCTGTGAAGAGAACAGATGCCCATTGTTGACTAGTCCAGGAGATGAGTTCTCTTACCCAACATAAACAGGCACCTCTGTGTCCTTGGGCAAACGTTACACAAACAACTGGCCATCTTGCATGGAGACCTGTATTGTGCTGGTGTCTACACACTGTAGTAGCCGAGATTCTTGTTCCTGTTGCCACTAAATGATCTGCCATAGGCGGAGGCACGGCAATGTTACTCTTCCTTCAGGCCGAAAGAGCTAAATAACAGTACCCGTAGGTGTGGTAACTCTATGTCTGCCTGAAACATGTCTTCTAGACACATAATCCTTGGATTCAAACTGATTCCATAGTCGGTGGACCATGCTAGGAGAGACATTGAGACGTCTAGCAACATCAGCTTGTGACATCTCCATTTCCATCCATTCGATCGCCCACCACCTCATTGAATCAGGCAAATAACTTCTCCTGGACATTGATAGACTCTTCTGAATATTGTCCACAAAAACAGCTGAAGATCAACACTTGTAAACAAAAATTACAGTTTTTGCATTTTTTCTCTGTCTCCTATATAAGTATTCATTTCTTAGCTATTATGTTTTCGCACATATTTTTTTAAACTTCATTACTGTCATGCATATGAACTTTTAATCTAAACGTTACTGACATTTTTGTAATGGTGAGCTTTGAAAACCTGCTGTTCCTTAACTTTTGGAGGACAGTGTATTTTAAGGCACTTATTGGAAACTTAAAATCTTCCCTTAATGGCAATTTTTCTAACAACTGGGTATTTTTATATTAAATCTTTGCATCAAAATTAAAATTAGTTAAATGCTGTCATAGTTAATACTTGAGTAAAACATCAGGGAAACTAGTGATTTGTAGATTAATAAATGCCTTTTTTGAATTTGTAAAATATATTCTTAGTGTTTTTATTTTGGTACTCCCATTTAATTCACCATCTGTAAATATTTTTAGGCTGACTGCATTTTGTGCTAGAATATTTCACAAAGCATCATTCCAAGAGTGGGAAAACTTTTTATATATAGATCCTACTGTTATATACAAAGCTGTATCATGGCTTGTGGATCACCAAACATATGAAGGTGCATTCTATGAGACAACTTTATATCCAATGGATCGAAAAATGAAACTGACAGTAAGTTATTATTTACTGGTTTATGACATTCCTGTTGATATTTGGTTGAATTACATCACTGTGATATTTTTAATGTATTCATTATATCAATAACTTTATAAATTTTTTAATTGATGACTAATAAGTGTTTTATTTACTAGACATTTCTATTTTCAGTCTGGTCGTTCGAAAGATTCTACTAAATATCGTAATATTACACTTACTGCACATGTGCTCATAACATTAGCTGAAATAACTGATTTGAGTGGGGTAAGTTTGTTAGTTTTTTAAAAAGAAATTTTTAAGTAAATTAGTATTTTTGGGGTAGTTAGAAAATAAATTAATATTTCTGTATGCTTAAAGATATTTAGGTATTTGATGTCAATTTCTTTATATTACTGAAATGGAATTTAAGTACTATGATAAGCAGTTTTTACTAATTGTGTAACTATGTTAATTATTAGATTTAAATATGCCTTTAAACTCAGTTTTGTAATTTTACTATCATTTCTATTTATGCATCATTCTGCTAGCATTATTTACGATTTGCATTATATTAGTATCTTCTCAAAAATATTTTAACTAAAAAAATGCTTGTGATATATTAACTAGGGATATCAATAATGAATTGAATTTCTTATTTTTATATCACACATTATTTTATAGTCATTAGCATAATTTCACTAAAATTGTTTATTTTTTCAGAATGTTTTTAAAAAATGAAATTGAATGTTTTCAAATCTTTGTTCATGCACACTATTATAATCAATTAATAAAATATAACATAAGGAGAGTATGTTGCAGTATAACAGAAGATTAAAACTTTAATACTAAGCTATTTATAACATATGATTTTCACTATCCTTCTGTAAATATTTTCAATAAGATTCATACATACTGTTGTATTTCAAATCTATCTGCTTTTGACTTTTTTAATAAGATCCCTCTCCTTCCCCTCAAATTTCAGAAATTCAGAAGCATAAAAGTAAGGGTTAAGATTTATGCAAAATTTAGCTTTTTTAACTGCCTATATTTTGTTATTAATTGTAGAACAAAAAACATTCCTCTTTATGTAACAGTACCTTTCCTATACATCAATATTTTTCATTTAAAAAACTGCTTAGCATGTTAAAAATGCAATTTCATAAAAGTTCTATGCAATTAAACTTCCTTTTTTGAGGATGTTAAAACTTTCTTGTTTTTTAGGAGCAATTTATTGCTTTGCCTCCAAAATTAATTTCTTCTAAATCTCTTCATTTTGATAGAGCTGTTTAAATTCAATTAACAATACAGTAAAGCTAGACTATCCAGAAAGCTTGGGAAATGCCAAATTCCGAATACGTGAAAATTCCAGATAGTTGAGTATATAAAGCATCGAATTCACATTAGAGAAATAAAATTAGAGGGGAACATTTCCTCTCTAAATTATATAATAATCATCTTATTTGTTATTTGAATATCAAAAACCTACCTTTAAGATTTTGGGAGGAAAAAAAAAAAAGTGCATTTCAGTCTTATAAAGCCGACTTATGTTGTAAGTCAGATCCAATAATGAAATCTCACAGAACATGAAAGTTTCCAGAAGCATCACCAGTAATTCTGGCAGAAATTTAAATGAACAGCTCATTATGTATTCAAAAGACAAATTGTGGATATAGCATATAAAAAATTAAAGTCGCTTATCATAAGTTTTCACATTACATCGTTATCGTTTATCCACTTCTAAGTCCAGTATTGTGGCTTACTTTTTATGCCTAATTCTATATCTTTGAAAATACTCCACTTTCATGCAATGTCAAATACTAATTATTTTTTTTCGAAATGTGAGGAAAAAATACAAAATATATCTTCCTTTACAAAACCAGCTTATTGAGAATTAACTGAATTTACATTGAACCAAAACAAACTTATAAAACTTAATATATTGTGATGTCATGCTTATCCATTATTGGCACTAAATCACACTGTTTTGTGACAATGTATAAGTATTACTAGTAATATCAGCTATATAATGGCATTACAAATCTCTCATTCACTAAATTTTTTGGAGAAAAAATATTTTCTAAAATTCTGTAATATTCCGGTTATTTGAGCTTTCTGGTTAGTTGAATGTTGGAGGCTTTTACAGTAATTTTTTAAAAATGCCAATTTCTAAATAGGCCCTTGAGATTTTAGAGCAGATTTTTGTGGTGGTACACCATATATATATATATATATATATAAAGGTGGTACTTTTCCATTTTGCAGGGGCAAGGGATAAAGTTGCCAAAAATGGTACAACCGATGCCAAAAGGAATATCCTCATTGGTAACCTAGTACGCCTCATTTGCAAAACAAGTTGCAGCCGTTTCTTATCAGATTGTTTCTTTCAATATCGACTTACAATTACATAGAATTTTTACCAAATAGTTCAATTTTATGCCCTAAGGCCATTTGTGGTAATTAAGTCAATTAGGATGCAATCACACTGCTCACCTGAAGGCGAAAATATAGAAAAGGCAAAGTCAAGTGTTAAATTCATCAATTCTAATGAGAATGCACTAGTGAAGTAAAGCACTGTAGTTTTACATAATTTCTAAGTAAGCTATTTGTATGAATTGAAATAATTCTTGCATTTAAACTTGTATTCCAAATTAAGATTTAACTTTGAAATTAATGTAGATAATTACTAAGAGAATTAGATTTTTATAGCGTAATTTCCATGAGATGAGATCACTTGGGGTCACGTGATATCAAACAGCGAATCAGGATGTTGTACCATGAAAGCATAGCAAATTCTTAATGTCTTTTTAGAAATTTATTGTCGTTTTACAAAATTTTAAATGATATTAAAATGTTTATGCCTTCAAAGTAAAAATTTCTTAGAACTAACATTTGTTAAAATTTTTCATGTGTATACTGTGTGTTGTCGCCAATAAAGTCTGCTTGGCGAGATTTGCGCAGGCGAAACAGAAAAGTACCAAAAGAGTAGTTCTGTATTTCCCATTCTTCTGGACTAGTTGATGAAATTAAGCCTCCATTTTTCATTTAAATTATTTATGCATATAACTAAATATTTTTTCTTTAAAAAATATTTTTCTTGTTAATATATTAACTTTATTGTTAAATTTTTTCTTGTTAAAATATTAACTTTATTGAAAAAAGTGTAATTTGATTTCCTTTTCCTGCGGTATAACCAAGACAACTTTTTCAGGATATTGGTGCTAAAGCAGCAAGAGCAAAACGGAGTGCTCAGAGATACCTTGAGAAAATGCTTCACACCGTCAAGGAATCAAAAGATCCATATGAAATAGCTATTGTTTCATATGCTTTGACACTAGTAAATAGCATTGATGGTGAAGCCGCATTTAATATCTTAGATAGTAAAATGAGAGAATCAGGTATACTTACATTTTTATAAGAAAATAATTGTGATAATTTTTTTTTTTTTTTTTTTTTTTTTTTTTTGCATTTATTGGAAAATGAATTTTGTTTTTCCTTTTAATATTTATTATAAAGCATTTGCAGGTTTTAAGGTTCTTGTTTAAGCTGGCTTTCATAAAATATATGATTTGGACACCACATAACTTCCTTATACAGCCTATTGTATTATACACATTTTTTGTTGCATTTCATTTAACCTCAAATTTCATTAGAGATATTTTTCTCATTTAATTAATTCAATTCTGACTTCACAGGAAAGCAAAAATAAATAAAAACTTAAAGCATCTTCATTAAAAATAGTAAAATGAAAAAAATAAATAAAACACCAAATACAGTTAAAAACAGTTTTTTTTTTTTCTTCTTCTTTTTTTTTTTTTAACAGTTAAATTTAAAGTTTTTATGCAAAAGCAAGCAGTTAGGTCAGCAGGCAGGAAGACCAGATTTTTCAATGCCCAAAACTGAAAGTTTAGTTTTGGTTCGACCCGGCAAACAGACACTGAAGTTGGTGCACGAATTCACTTAATTCTCTATTCTACGAAGAGTTCCATGTCTAAACAAATGGCGACTTGTTAGGCTTAGCGCTACTTAAACTTTTAAATTGTTGATAACTCTATAACTGCATGCAGGTTAACTAAAGGCATAAAAACCTTAACTGGAACAGAAGAAAACATAATTCAATCACTTTTACAGCAAAAAGTGCACAATTTACCAACTTATGAGAATAAAAAATACTGAGCACACCAAGGCGTATAGCAGAGTAGGTATAGAATGTATATATATATATACAGGGTTCGTAGCAGTCCTTATAAGTGCTTATAAGTCCTTATATTTGAAAATAAAATATAAAGGCCCTTATATGTGCTTACTTTTTCTTTAAAGCCCTTATTTTTTTGTTTTTAGTGCTTATTTTTTGCTTTTAGTGTCTTTTTTTTGTGTGTGTGTGTGTGTGTAATGAACGTGCTATTTTGCGCTATTTTTCCCCGTACCAAAGCCGAAAATAAATAAACAACTTTTCTTCCTAATATGGAATGTCAGATGGTGAGTCATACTCCCGGAAATAGCTTTTTTCCCTTTCTCTGCATTAACGTATTCTTTGGTGTGCAGGAAGAGTACAGACAAGTGTCCGTCGTTCTATCGGTCAAAGAATTGCGAAAGCAGTAGAAAATTCCACTACATTTGGCATTCTTTTCCTCCCACCCAAATACTACACATGTTTGAATTTCTATCAAGATCTTAAAAATTTGCATTCTCGTTCTGCTTGGTCAGTTCATATTCGTGTTTATTATGATCATTATGCTTATATTATGGGCATATGTATGAATGTTTATAATAACATAGTTGCAGTAACTGCTGAAGTATAGTAAACTTCCAAAAATGGTTGTGTTTTAACACAGATTAGCTTTCTAAGGAATAATATTTGGAATGGCTTAAATAAAGGGAAAGTAATCGAATAGTCAAAATAATTTCATTTTTTTGGCCAATATATTGTACAGTACGAAGGTTGGGAGGTCTCCCCTTTCTCCGCAAAATCTTGAATATTGAAACTGTTACAGTTTGCTGCAAAACAAGCAATGGACCTTTTTTTTTTTTTTTTTTTTTTTTTTTGGTCACTTTCTAATCTGGATTGAATAGGACTAAAAGTTCTGCTGTCTACCAACCTAAGCGAAGAATGATTCTATTCCGGAAATTTAACGCCGTCTGTTGAAAATTAGAATGAAAAACACCCCAGTTATTTAGTTCTTTACTCTCCTAATACGGTAGTTGTTGATTCCGATTGTGTAATATCACGTAGAAAAGAATTACGGCGCACGTATTGCGCAATAACGTTTGTGATATTTTGCAGATATAATTAATTTTGATGTTCAGTCCGAGATTTGTTTATGAACACTTAAAAGAGTTTTACTGTGCTTGCTAAGCAGAATATTTTTTAGTTCCATTGGTTTATTTTTATATGATGCACATATTGAAATGTCAAAAGCATTTATTTAGCGGAAAAATCTAAAGAGCGGCTACAGTCTACTCCCCCTTCCGCTCCTTCAAGTTACGCTCGACTGTCCGAATATTCGCCAATTTCCAACTATGCAGGTTAGTTAAGCTTTTACTGTTAAAGATGACTGCATGAAGCAAATTTCTGTCTTCTGATTTCAGAAATGTTCCTCTTTTTTACTTAAATTACTTTGCTTGCAATATCTGTTAAGAGAAAACTGATATACAATGAAAATTCAGATTTAAATTATTTAAATATCAATATGAGTGGAAAAATAAATTGTATTTATTATTAGGTTCCAGGTGAATACAATAAATATACCTTATTATTATTTATTTTCTCTATTTTGAACTGAAATTTCATCATTAAATCTTGTAATATAGTTTAGTTCTTCATAGTTTATTTTTTTCCTCTCATTGTAAACTAGTTCTGTAAATTGAACTATTATTTAAAATTTAAAAAAAAAAAAAAAGTAATTATTTTCCATGGTTGAAATAATGCTTATTCTCTCTTAATAAGTACTTTATTTCTCATATTTTAAATTACAAGTCTAATTTTTAAGGTTATGCAGTTGTCTATGATGTAATTAGACAGGTGCTTATTTTTTTTCTTAAAATGTGCTTGAAAAGTGCTTGTAGGTGCTTATTTTTTTAACTAAAATGTGGCTATGAACCCTGTATATATATTTATATACAGTGGATGGACAAAAACATGGAAACACCTTGTGAAATGCATGTTTGAAAAGAAAGATTGATTTTAATGAAATATGTAGGTGGCGCTGGCGTTTTTGACTATTGACGCCACCTATACAACTTCGTAAATGTGCTAAACAGTTCAGTTGTTGTCGGAGTACTGTTATGTGAGGTTGTCATTGCATTATGTCAGAGTTAACAGACTTCGAACGTGGGCAAATTGTTGGAGCATGTATGGTAGGTGCTTCCGTAAGCAAGGTAGCCGAGGTGTTTAGTGTTTCAAGAGGTACTGTATCGAAGATTTATTCCGCATATTTGAAAAGCGGAAAAACATCATCTGCTAAATCACAGCGCGGACGAAAGTGTGTCCTAAGTGATCGTGACAGACGATCATTAAGGGCAATTGTGACGAAAAATAAGAAGACCACAGCTGCAAAAGTTACTGCTGAAATGAATGTTGTGTTACCGAACCCTGTGAGTACCAAAACAATTAGAAGGGAGCTTCATAAATAGGGAATTGCTGGCCGTGCTGCAATTGAGAAGCCACTCATCAGTGATGCTAATGCCTGTAACAGGAAAAGGTGGTGTTTAAGTCATAAAGCCTGGACTATAGAGCAGTGGAAGCGAGTAATATGGTCTGACGAGTCTTCTTTCACATTGTTTCCCACTTCTGGCCGAGATTACGTCTGGAGAACGCCATCTCAAGCCTATAATACGGACTGCTTGTTGCCAAGAGTGAAACATGGCAGGGGTTCTGTTATGGTTTGGGCAGCCATATCGTGGTTCTCTGCTAGCCCCATGATAACTGTGTCAGGGCACATGACTGCCAAGATTTATGTGAACATTTTGGCCGATCAAGTTCATCCCATGGTACAAACTTTGTTCCCCAATGGTGATGGTGTCTTCCAAGATGACAAAGCCCCTGTTCACACAGCTCACATTGTCCAGGACTGGTTTTCTGAGCACGAGGATGAGTTGTCCCATCTACCCTGGCCACCACAGTCACCAGACCTGAATATTATCGAACCTTTGTGGTCTACATTGGAACGGAAAGTGCATTCTCGTTATCCTCCGCCAACATCGTTATCTGAACTTGCCACCGTTTTGCAGGAAGAATGGTATAATATTCCCTTGGCAAACATACAGGAACTGTATTTATCCATTCCGAGAAGACTGCAAGCTGTTTTGGATGCCAACGGGTTTCCTACACCATATTAAGCAAAGAAACATGTTTTTTTAAAGGTGTTTCCATATTTTTGTCCAACCCCTGTATGTATATATTTGTTGCAGCTGATCGCAACCAAATGTAAGGTGCACAACTACATGTTATAGAAGCTCCATATGCTTGAATGGTATAAGACTACTTGTTTTTAGAGTTATGCAAAATGCATAAATATGTACATATGTTATGAAAAAATCTCCTCTGAATCCATTTTGGGAAAAAAGAGTCCTTTATTTTGTCCATGTGTATAGATGTCATGGAAAAACATTGTTCAATTGTATTTAAAAGTGGTCAAAATAGATATTTTCGATGAAATGTGATACTCAGAATTTTTCTTGATTACAATAATTCCTTTACTTCATACAAGGAAGTAAAAAGAGATCTGTATAAAATATTATTGAAAGGGGGGAAAAAGAGGTAGAAATAAATTCTGATTTTTTAGACTTCAGCCTAAAACCTGAAAGCTGACACAAACTTGTTTCTTCAGAGCATAAAACGTAAGAGGGAAAAAAATTAATTTTCTGATGAAGCAAAATAATATGTATTCGTGCATACATTTGTATCTACCATTTGTAGCAACCTTCTTGAAAATAATTTTCATACAATTTGATAAGCTGATGGATGCTATTCTGAAACAGAGATTTGTGCAATATCAGCAGATATTCTTCTCATGTTATCAACATATTAGTGATTTTAAAATCACATAGAATCATATTAATGAAATTGCTGTGATATTTTGCAGTGTCCCTGTAAATGGTATGAGATGATGAAGCATAATTTGATAGCCCCTTGAAATTATTTTTTAAACTTGTTTTTCCTATTTCCGTACATTTCTTCCTTAGCTTTAAATACAAATTTGTACTTTTTAAAATATTTTAGTCTCCATTTCTGAAGATTGGTGATATTTGAATATTAACTTGCTAATTTTATTTATTAAATATTTATGAATCTCTTTCAACAAGCTTCAATATAAAAATGATTTGAGATACATAAAATGTGATTTCTGAGAACCATTTATTTTTTGTACTTTCATTTTTGATCTCCTGTACTCTTAATGCTGCAGATCAAATTTTTCCTCCTAAATTTTCAATGCTTTCAAAACTTTCAGTTCTTCTGGGAAAAAATTTGATAAAGGTGGGCTGTTTAAATTTATTTCGCTATTATCAAATAGTTTTGAAAACTCAAATCTTAATCTCGTAATCTTGTACCATCCAACATTATTTGCATTTGTTTTTTAATATTTTTGTTCTTATTCTTAGTACCTTTTTAATGCTTATTAAATAGCATAAAAGCAACTAGAGTTGAAATGAAATAGGTTTAATTATTATTATTTTTTTTTTTCCCTCTCTGTTGAATTTCTTACTGAGAGCACTATCTAAACTATTTAGTAATTTTATTTGGGGGAAAGCATATTATTTTATTGCATTATTCATTAGTTTCTGGTGTTCCATGCAAATATTTTAACTTTTCAATAAAATTTCTTGAAAAATTTATAATGATTTTCTCCGCCCCCCAGCTGGATTGCGATATTGGAGCAAAGATTATGTACCTCCACTTTTATCAAAAGTTGAAAACAATAGGCCTTATGTCGTTCCTCGTTTGCCTCACAAGTATGATGCTTTAAATGTGGAAACCACTGCGTATGCTTTGCTGGTACATGTGAAGCGCCATGCTGTTATTCAGAAAGAAATTGTGGCATGGTTAAATACTCAAAGATCAACAGATGGAGGATGGGCTTCAACTCAGGTAATTATAACCACTAACTTGTGTTTTTAATCTAACTTATTTATATTTTTTAAGTAAATATTTGAAAATTTTGAGTAATTTGTAAATAAATGGTTGGAAATTTTATGCCACAAATTTCTTCATTTTAAATCTGAGAATATTAAAAAAAAATTAAGTTTGTTATGAAATATATTTTAAGCAATTTTGAAATTTACAGTTTGTTATGAGAATAATCAAATTTAACTTGAATGTTTGTTCTGAAATCTAGCAAAGCATTTAAAAGATTTCTGAGACAAAATTTTATCTTGTTGAAAATAGGAAAAAAATAATTAATTGGGAAAAGTGATTAGGTAAAAAGTGAGTCAGTGAAGCTTGCAGCCAGTGCTTAGCTAAGACACACACATGTCCTCAAGGTACCACATGATTTTCAAAGTAGAAGCTTTAATAGCTAGATTTTGACCAGTTTTGCTTATTTGTGTTACTTTTCTTAAAAGGATTTAAATCTTACAAAAACTAAAATTTCCAGTTATTATTAAATTTAATTCATTTTCTTAAAATGTGTTAGGCTAAAAATTGAAATATAGAATTCTGCATTAAAACCTTTTTTGAAATATTTGATTAAAACATCTTTTTAACTGTATCTGATAAAAAGAATCAGCTACATTGATCAGCAATTTAGCTGGGGTTTTAATTTTTACAATGATTATTTATTATTCATCAAGTATTTTCTATGAAGAAAAGTTTATTTTCTCTTCTTGTTTTGCTTTATTTTATCAGAAGGTATTCTTATCTAAAATAATAAATATTTTTTAATAGTGATTTGCCTCAGCTTTTTTTAAGACAAATTTTAAAGTAAATTTTATAGATTAACATAGGGACAGGTATAAACAAATTATTGTTTATGTAGTATAATTTCATTAACAAATAATTGCACTGTCATTTTAGAATTACATAAGTGCAATGCAGTTTTTTAAAGAACTGTAGACAAATTTAATAATTTATATTTTAAGATACCAGTATGCAAGTGTCTACGTCTTTTAACTTTATTCATATTGTCCATGTATGTTGGAAGTAAATACAGTGTCTCACAAAAATCATCGTGCACAATAATATTTTTACTTTTTTAGGTAATAGAAGAAAAGCTTTGCAATAAAATAATAAACAATATTTTCCTTTTGAGTACATGATTTGTTAGTTCTCTCTTTGTAGTAAATAAATTAGAAAAATGAAATAGTAAATTTAAAAGACAGCGTTTTAAGCTGAAATGGGGAAGAAAAAAAAGGGTACCACAAAATTAATCAGATATTTTCATAATTTCTAATTAAGATTGTCTGCAATAAATAAAAAAAAATAAATTTTATGGAATTATTTTGAATAAAGAAGCTAGGCAACTATCTAAAAGCCTTTTGCTTTAATAATTCAAATTTTCTTTTTAGAAAATATTCCTTATTTTAATGTTTTCTTGCAACGGCTCAGTCACAAAAGGAAATATCGTTAGAAACCCACAGATCAGTTGTTGATTTGCATCAAACGGAAGAGAAATTTGGGAGAAAAATTGCCTACTTTAAGTGATTCTACAGTTTTTGATATTATTAAGCATTATAAGAAACAGAATCGTATTCAAAACAAAAGAAGACCTGGAAGACCATCTAAATTATCTCATGGAGTAAAATGCTTTATTCTAAGGAACATTAAAAAGAATCCAATACTGACTGCTCCTAAACTTGTTGCAGAACTTCATGGATTATATTAAATATGTGAAAATCCAGAAACTGTAAGAAGAGTAATGCTATCTGCAGGATATCATGGGCGAATAGCAAGATGAAAATTTTATGTCAGTAAATAAAGCCAAGAACTTCGACCCACATTTGCAAAATTGATGAAACAAAGGACACCCAACTATTGGAACAAAAGTGTTGTTTGCTGATGAAAGCAAATTTAACATCTTCGGCTCAGATGGGCGAATGTTAGTGTGGAGAAAACCCAAGGAAGAATTTTAGAAGCAAAACTTAGTAATAAGTGGCAAAGAAGGAGTTATGATATGGGTATCTATGACACTTTCTGGTGTTTGTGGATTAGTATAAATACCTTGACATCTTGAAGTGAAATTTGGCATCGTCAGCACAAAAACTTAATATACAAATAAGATTTAAATTCTTCTGGGATAATGATCCAAAGCATACTGTGCATAATTAGACTCTGGCTGTTATATAAGTGTCTAGTAGTAATTAAGGCAGTACCCCTGATGCCAGATCTTAATCTTATTGAACATATTTGACAGGAACTAGAATCGAAAATTCGAAAACAGAGCATATTTTCACGGCAGCAACTGCAAGCAGTGATTCAAGAGGTGTGGCATAAAGTAAGTCCAGAAATAACAAAACAACAACAACAACAACAACAAAAAAAAAAAAAAAAAAAAAAAAAAAACTTGTGGAGTCAGTGCCCAAAAGATTAAATGAAGTGATTGAGTGTAAAAATTATCCCACAAGATATTAAGAAGCAATGCATGTTTTTGTCATTTTTTAGCTGTTGCTAAAAATCTCCGATTATTTTTCCTCATTAAATAAATTATATTCATTTTTGAATTTAATTTTCATCTTTTCGAAAATGTATTTACTGTAAAAAAAGTATCGAATTTATATATAATTAAAATAAAAGCCTTTCTTTTTGCTTTAATTTACTTTAACCTTTCTGTTCATGAAAGAATACAAAAATTCAAAGCGCCTGATCATTTTTATGAGCCACTGTATGTGTTTGAAAATGGTTGCAAAATATTTTGTTATTATAAAATGAAAGCAAAAGAAAATTTTTATTTACTATTTGAACTGCAAATAAATATATTTTTCTGTAATTTCATTATAAAAATGCAAATTTTATTTAAAAAAAATATAGTCATCTTTATATAATCTATCATAATTATATCTTTTAAAAGCATATGAACATCATATTGTAAAACTAATATTTTACGATGATCTAAATTATGTTTTTGTTTGGTATATAATATTGATATTGTTTTGCAAATGCCTTGAAATTGTATATCAATTAACTCCTAGATTTGGAAGATGTTATTCTTGCTAAGAATTAACTAAATGTGCAAAATTTAGGATTCTGTGTTTATGTGTAATTTAAGTGTTCCAGAATAAGATGAAAATTTGATCAATAATGATATATAAAAATAAAATTAAGTTTGTATCTTTCAATAAACACTTCTCACTTTTTTCCACAATTCGTATTCAAATTTGATTTTGTAAATTAAGATTCGTGTTTGCTTATTCTTTCTTCTCCCTGCCTTGAAAAATTTAGAGCTGTAAGTTTAAACTCATGATTAAACATTTTACTTCAAGAAAAAGATGTAAAGAAAAGCAGAGACAGTGCTAGACGTTTTTGCTTTTTGATGCAACATCTACTGCTCTTAAATTCTGCCTCTTGGTATTTTTGTAATTTTCATTGCAGTCACATCAGTTGTAGAGGCTCTGATGAAATGTAAAATATAGTACAAGTACTTATTGGATTAACCCTTCAATGCATGTAGTTGCCATTTGGCAATATACTCATATTTAGTCATGTAAATCAAATCAAGACACAAATTTTAGCTTACTGCATAGTTGGTTACATACTGTTTACATATATGAAAGTTTCAGTGTAAACACTAATGGTGTAATGGTCATTATTGTAAGTTGATGTGTAGGCTATGGACATCATTTGTGTTTATGAACTTTAGATTTTGTGTTTGTTGTTAATTTGATGTATTCAAAGTTTTAAATTTGTTTGAACAAGTTTATAAAGTATGTATTGTTACATAAAATTGTTATTACACATTTGCCTACTATATTTTTTGTGTAAAAGTTAATAACATTTTTTCAAAAATTGGAATAAAAACTTAGTTTAGTTTTTTTTAGTATTTTTCCTATTTTATTTTATATCAATTTAAATGTATTTTTGACTTTAAATAATAAAATAAAAATTCATGCATTTAAGGGTTAATTAATATACACTAAAGGAAAAAGAAAATATGGGAAAATGTAGAAATAGTATTTCATTCAACTTGTATGTGCATGAATATGTATGTATATGTATGTATACTTAATTTTTCTTATCAAGGCATAAAATTTATTGTATGGATTTTGTAAAGAGGTGGTTTTTTTTGGGGGGGGTGTGTTTTCTTAGATAGAGATTAGATAACTTTAGGGAAGGAATTACTGCATGGGGAATGTTTTTGTATCAATATTTTTTTTTTATATTAACAAAATTTTATTTGATTATTGACGATAGATGAACGGACTTCAGTAAATTAATTTACCAAAACAAAAAAAAAAAAAAAAAAAAAAAAAAAAAAAAAAAAAAAAGAAGAAGAAGAAGAAAATAAATATTCAGTGGTGTATTGACATTTCCGAAAACTTTATTTTTGTCTTTCAGATCTTTTATGCTTAGCATTTTAAATATATGGGAAATAGTACAGTTACAACACTAACATCCAGTACGAAGGACAAAAATGTATTTCAGTTGTAATAATATTAGAAGTTATTATTGTTATGCCTTGATATATTTCACGTCCTCATATGCAATTGATAATTTTTAACATTTTCCTGTAGGATACAATAGTTGCAATGCAAGCTCTCATAGAATATGCTATACAGTCTCGCTTGAGAGATGTCATGGATGTTACTGTTACAATTGAGTATCCTGCAACAGGGTTCTCAAAGCATATTCAAATTGATGATAATAATTTCTCTGATTTGCAAACACTTGAAGTAAGAAATTTTTTAGATAGTTTCTGCAACTATTAATTACAATTTTGCCATTGAAATTAATTTTGGATTTAATTACTCTATATATGCTTTAAAAGTGTTTTCTCCCCTCCCTCTTCATGTTAATATTTTTTCCCTCATAAATCTTATATTTTGCACACATTTTCAGCAATTTTCAATATTTCAAGTTAAAAATTATTTTAAAATTATTTATTTAATATTTAAATTTTTAAGTTATCTTACTTTTTTGGAAAAGAAGTGAAATATTGCATTTTTATACCTTAGGTTCTCCAATGAAATCTTTCTTTTCCACAAATTGAAAACTAGTTTTTTTTTATCAATTAAAAAGTCATTAAGAAATGTTAAGTTTTTTTATGTAATAGACAAACCTTGATTGAGATTTTTTTAATAATAAAACATCATTAATTAATGGGAAACATTTAATACAAGTAAATGACTTTCCCTTCAATATATGGTCTTTAAATGTAACTGTTTTGAATAAAATAAAATGAAAAGTAACAACAAGGAAGTATTAATATGTTTATTGTAAATAAATTCTTTTTCTAGGCCAGAAAACTGCTAATGAAACCCATCTCATACACTTGTTTCTTTTGAGTTTTGAATAATCTTTTTTTTTTTTTTTTTTTTTTTCTTTTACAAGGAAACCTATTGAAATTTTTTGACAGTTGTCATCAGAAATTGCTACAAAATGTTAGGGCTGACCAAAGATATGGATAAAACAACAAAGTGTAGCATTTCATAATTATTTGAAATACAGAGAATAGGGTGTATAAGGTGTCACACAAACCCACATACAGTTTCTGAAGACCAAGTTTAGATTGCCAAGTGTATGAATGAATTTACAACATAAAGTATGTATGAATTTACAGCATCATTGTGCAATAACATAGAATCTTGGCAAATGGCACGCATGTCATATTCCAGTGACTTTTGCTTGTACAGTATGATATGGACTATGGGCATATTTGGCTGTTAACAAGTACTATTGCTGAGTAATAAGCTGCAGGCAGTTACGAAATGCCACACTTTGCACCTATTTTTTTTTTCATGCTTGATTACCCTTGGAAGTTTTGTTGTAATTGTTGTTGGGAAGTTTCTCAGCTTTTTTGCCACTTGTAAAATAAATATCTATGATGTTTCATCATCAGAAGAACCGATAAAAGTATTTTTCACATTTTCTATTGGAACCCAGTTTCTATTGGATTGTATCCAAGTTTCCAGAAATACATGCTATATATGAATTTTATTATATTAGTCAAAATGCTTAACCCATTAACCACCAAAACTACAAGAAACATTTCTTTTCTCATGAAAATAATAACAAATATTAAATTAAGCATTTATAACATAAATTTACATTGAAAATTAAAAAAATGTCCTTACCTGTGGAAAAAGTGTAGTGCGTTCTCGCAACGTCAGCGGAATAAGACTACGGATGTTTAGTGAGTAGGATGTTTCTTTTGAGTAGAGCGCAGGGTTACCTTTTAGCTGTATAACGTTTTATAAATCTGCAAATCACTCTACTTGTAATTAATTTAATATTAAAATACACATTGTAATTCTTTTTCAAATACAGATTATTTCAATAGAAAGATTAAAGCATGAAAAGCTTCATTACAATCATGATGTAAAGCTACATTACATACTTTGCATCTATATACAATCTGGCTATGGTACTCTTTACAACAAAGTCTTTTTTTATCAACGAACTTTATGATAAAATGTCTACCATCTCCATGCAATGGTTTTTGAATACTGAATTTTCTAGGTCTTCCTGTTGCTGATCTATTTCTGGCTAATTCTGCACTCTCAAAAGAAGTTTGCAAAAGGAATAATGCATTCTCACATCTGAAATCTAAAAGAGACTTTATATTTCCAGTAGTAAAAAGTGGTGATATTTAGTAAGTTTAGATACAGTCTCAAATCATATAATTTATCCATATTGTCAATTTGACTATTGTCAAATGCAAATTCTACTTCATCTTCCTGTACTGCAAACGTGATATCGATTCTCATACAACAGGAACAGAAATAAATGTCCTTATCAAAAGACCAATACATTTTTTGAGGTAAAGAATGATATCCTGTAAGCAATAATATTCCAATAAATCTTCTCATATAGGCTTCAGATGCAATAAAATCTTCTTTTTTTTTTTTTTTTTTTTTTTTCTTCTTCACCACTAGCCCCTGCAAATTCTGGAGGAACAACAACAATATCAGTTTCATTCTGGTCATTATTAACATTATCATCATCTGTTTCTTCATCAAAAAATCTTTGAAGGGATTCTTCTAATGTAAGATACTTCATTATAGGCATTTTTTAACAACCAGAATATCGAAAGGAATGAGTGAAAAATGAGATTAACTACCCGTTTCCTGCTGACGTTGCGTCAACGCACACCTGTTTTCCATTTCTTCCCAACACAAATATAAACATCTGACTGATCTAATGTTCTGATAAACGGTAACCTTGACTAAAAATAGATCACTCATAAAGACGGCGATTCTTTCGTTAAATATTTTCAGCAAAAATACCTGGTCGAAAATTTTGCTTAAAGTATGACATTAATTATTATAAACAAAATGATTGTTGAGGGCAAATATTTTTTTACAGAAAAATTCTTCATAATATTCCCTACACAAAATCATCTGCTGGTATAAAATATCTTAGGTAGTTATATTTACGTACACATTTATTTTGACCGTTGCGTCAACGCAACACCAGCGGCTAATGGGTTAAAACAACAAATATTACGATGGTACTAGCTGATGGCAAGGAAAGAAATGTTCAAGCTTTGACTACAGTGGTAAATGTTAATGTTGAAGGAAAGATAGTCCGTATGAAATTTATTGCTTTGCAAAAAGCAAAAGGTAACAGGACGTTACTTGGAACCAATTTTCTACAGGCTGAGGGAATAGTGCTCAAAATCCAGAATGGCACTTGGTATTTTAGTGAAAATCCACAGAAACAGTATCCCTTTTACAAAGAACCATCTGAAACTAAAGAGACTTCAAACGTACTAACATCTTTAAAAGCAGCATCTCCAGAAACAAAAACTTATGCTGACACTACTGTTGCAATACCAGAAGCAACCAAATCCGTGAAGTTGAGAGATGATGAAGGGAAACATTTGATGAGAGAACAATGGAAGAAATTAAATTCATTGTTAGAAGAATATAAAGCTAGCTTTCAGCCAGGGGAAGAGCCTACTCCTTATATTGAGCATAGAATCCAGACCGGAAATAATTTACCTGTTGCCGAACCACCATATAAAATGACACCCGCGAAGAAAGAGATGTTAAAAAAGGAGCTAGATTCCTTACTAGCTCAGAGTATCATTGAGGAATGTGAATCACCCTATGCGAGTCCTGTTGTGTTGGTCCCTAAACCTAATGGTTCCATCAGACTGTGTATAGATTATCGAAAATTAAACTCCCAAACCGTTCCAGATACCTATCCATTACCAAGAATGTATGATTTGCTAACTGAAGCAAAATCAACAAAATACATGTCTACCATTGATCTAACAGCAGGTTATCATCAAGTTAAAGTTCATGAAGCAGATCAAGAGAAAACTGCTTTTGTTTGTCCATTTGGTACTTTTAAGTTTTTGCGAATGCCATTTGGGTTGCGGACGCGTCTGCAACTTTTCAACGACTTATTGATAAATTTAGATCAGGGTTAAAGGATGTTTTTGCCTTGTCATATCTTGACGATATCATAGTGTTATCAGAAACCTTTGATAAACATTTATCAGATTTGAGGATGTGTTTGAAAGACTTTCTATGTTTAAACTAAATGCTAACAGGAGCAAATGCCATTTTCTTTCTTCATGTTCTTTCTGAGACATAACTAACAATTCCTTTTTTATCTTTTTATCCACTTCAAGATCTCAATCTTCTGCTTTTTAAACTTTTTAGAATGACTATAACTGCTTTTAGAAGGCTGAAACTTACTTCTTATGTGAATTTCAACTTCCCCAGCAGTATCATTTAGTAAAATATCATTATCATTATTTAAAACATTGCCATTCCTTTCTTATTCGTCACCAGCTTCTGCAATTTCTGGAGGAACAACAACAATATCAGTTTCATTCTGGTCATTATTAACATTATCATCATCTGTTTCTTCATCAAAAAATCTTTGAATGGCTTTTTCTAATGTAAAATACCTCGTTCTAGGCATTTTTAAACAACCAGAACATGAACCAGAACATCGAAAGAAATGAGTGAAAAAGGAGATTGACTACCCGTTACCTGCTGACGTTGCGTCAGCGCAACACCTGTTTTTCCTTTCTTCCCAACACAAATATAAACATCTGACTGATGTAATGTTCTGATAAACGGTGACCTTGACTAAACATAGATCACTCATAAAGACGGCGATTCTTTCGTTAAATATTTTCAGCAAAAATACCCGGTCGAAAATTTTGCTAAAATTTTCCTTAAAGTATGAGATTAATTATTATAAACAAAATGATTGTTGAAGGCAAATATTTTTTACAGAAATAATCTTCATAATATTCCTTACACAAAATCATCTGCTGGTATAAAATATCTTAGGTAGTTATATTTATATACGCATTTATTTTGACTGTTGCGTCAACGCAACACTAGCGGCTAATGGGTTAACTCTTGGAGATTGTTTTGAATTGTATTTTTATTGTTTCTTCTACTATAAATCTGTCAAAACTGCATTACAGATTAAATTATGAAGATCAAAATTTTAAAGTATGTTTGAATTTACTCATTTTAAAATTAGTGAAACCTTATATTGTGCATCTTAATTTATCATTATTTTTTTGTACTTAAATATTTTTTTATGCTGATCTAGATACCTGAAGCTCATGGTGCAATAATAGTCAAAGCTCAAGGGTCAGGCTTAGCACTCATTCAACTTTCAGTTCAATACAATGTTGATCGAAAGCATTTAATGACACCTCCTCCTATACCTGCTTTTAACCTTGAAATAAAACCATATTTTTCTGGCCGTAATAGGTCTCATATCACTATCAAATCCTGTCAAAGGTAAATGCATTTCTTTGTTTCATTTCTCAAACTGAATTTACATATATTGCGTCATTTACAAATATTTGCATATTTTTTACATATATTTGCTCTTTTAACCTTCTGCCAACATACTACGTACATAAAGAAGGTAATGTGTTTGGTTCAAAAATTTATTGTGAATTTTCATTAAATAAGCCCAAATTCGAGTACCCACATCTTTTTACTATTTTGTATTGATTCCTGTCTGTCACTGTGTATGTACGCTGGTGTGCAAAAATTAAGGACGAGACGGTTTTTTCAATATAACTTTGTACAAAAGCTTTCCAAATCAACACATTTAATACCGTAAGATCCCCAATACGTAAGGACATGAGTAATGTAAGCAACACTTACTAAAAGAGAAATCAGAGATGGGTGTCCAGCATGAAACGTCCGGTCTTTAATAGGGGATATGATCTCCCCTGACTGCTAGGCAGATTTCACAGCGTCTGCCCATGCAGAGAATGAGGGTGTCAATGAGTTGTTGAGGCATTGCTGCCCATTCGTCTTGCAGTGCCAATCGAAGCTCCGGAATCGTTACTGGTGGTAAGGTACGAGCTGCCAAGCATCTGCCTAGAAAATCTCATACATGCTCGATGGGATTGAGATCCGGAGATTGTGCCGGCCAATCCATACGTTCAATATCCTCACTCTCTAAGAGCTGTTCGGCAGCTACTGTGCGATGACATGCTGCATTGCCGTCCATCAAAAGGAATTGCGGACCCTAAAAAGACACACATATGGAAGAAGAATCTCGTTACAATAATGGGTACCGTTGACTGAACCTGCGTCGAATATGTGAAGGTCATTACGACTACCAAGCATGAATGCCTCCCCAAAGGAGAACACCGCCACCTCCATACCTGTCTTTTTCAATGATGTTCGAGGGATGATTGCAGCTTCCCCGCTCTCTCCAGATGAGTATGCGATGAGAATCGCTACTCAGACTGAATTTGCTCTCATCTGTAAAGAGTACTCGTCCTTATTCATTGTCTCTCCAATTCCGGTGTTCCCGGCACCACAGAGAACGCCTTCTCTGATGGACAGGCGTTAGAGGTACACACCGTACCTCTATAGTAAAATTCTTATTTTCAGTACCGTACAGGGCGTCGTGCAAACAGACCACCACCATGCAGTCTTTTGGCCACAGTAAAACGCGATATCGGTCGCCTGTGTTGTGTGTCTAGCGATTTCTCCCGCTGTCTGCCGCCTGTTTCTTCTGGCCTGTAAGGCAATATACCGGTCATCTGCAGGTGTGGTTCCTCGTGGACGACCACTACTAAACCCCCGGATAGCTGTTCCTGTAGTTTGAAATTGTCTCCAAAGTCGTGAAACGATGCTGTGAGCAATTCCGAACTCTGCAGCCACACTTGTCACACTGCGGCCTTCCTCCAACTTCCCAATGATTCGACCTCGGGTAAAAGCATCCAGATGTCGTCTAACAGATTGATTATTCACCATTTCTCGCTGATACAGCAACTCGGTGGGATTTTAACTGCTATACGGAGTGCAATCTCTTTGCCAGAAATACTGATCCTACACCAACAGCATGCTTTATACTACTCAGACACTCCCCCCATTACGTCTACCTGCATATCTGTGCATGTGCTACCGTACATCACCTTACTTAATCTCCTGATTGGTCTTTCTGTCCGCTCTGCCTCTTCGTTCAGCTGATATGCTAATTTTTTGACTTCGTCCTTAATTTTTGCACACCAGTGTATGTCTGTGTGTTTTCATCCACAATAACTATTGTGTGAAACTTTTAAAATCTTCTGTTTTTTGCATTTAAGCTTTCTACATTCATTTTAAAAGTTGATTAAAATTTGGGTAAAATTAGACAACCAGAAGTGATACTTTACGTAAAGCACATGAACGCCTATTACACAAGGGGGACTCTGAGCATAAGAAATACACATGAACTTCATGGCTCCACTGAAGCATAAAAAGGATGCTCACTGTTTTTATCTCCCGTCAATATATATACATAAGTAAGGGAGGTATTGATTTCAGTTAAAAAGTTCAATAATAAGTTTCCAATGAATAAGCACGAATTAAGATTCTCACAGCACATTTTTAACAATGTCTGTCTGTCTGTGACCGACAGTTTTTTTTAGTTGCTGTAGCTCTTATATCTAACTTCCAAAAATTCTTATTTTCAGTATTTTTATATTCTTTTACTTTCTAAACTTTCTACATTCATAAAAAGAGTTGATTAGGTTTTAGGATTTTTAAAGCTGAACAATCAGAAATGGTACAGTACAGGAAGCCCATAATTGTCCTTCATGGATAATTGGAAGTTGTACTTAGTAGTATTTATTAAATTAGTAGTATTTATTGGGTTGGCAACTAAGTAATTGCGGATTTTTTTTAGAAAATAAATTTTTTCATGGAACTAAATAACTTTATTCTGTAATATATTACCCATTTTGATCAATGACCTTTTGCCATCTTTCAGGCAGCATCATAATCCCATGTTCGTAAAACTTCTGCTTTTTATTAGCTTCTGCTTTTTGTACGATTTGACATCATCATCATTATTGAAATTTTTACCATTCAAGGAGTTTTGTAAAGATTGAAACAAAAAGTAATCAGATGGCGGAAGGTCAGGACTATATGGTGGATGTGGCAAAACATCCCAACCAAGCTCCAATAATTTTTGCCGAGTGACCAAAGATGTGTGTGGCCTTGCATTGTCATGATGGAATACAACACCTTTTCAATTTGTCAATTCGAACCGCTTTTCTTCAACTGTATTGTTTAATTTCGTTAGCTGTTCACTGTATCAGAATTGATTGTTCAGTTGGGTGGTAAGAGTTCAAAGTAGACAGTTTTTTTTTTTTTTTTTTTGTAATCCCACCAAACTGATAACAAAACCTTCTTTTGATGAATATCAGCTTTTGATGTTGTTTGAGTTGGTTCACCTGGCCTGCTCCATGATCTTATCCATTGATATTGTTGTAAACAACCCATTTTTCATCACCAGTTATCAGTCATTTTAAAAATGGATCATTTTCATTACATTTCTTTAGCAAATCACAGCTGTTAATGTGTTGCGTTAAATGCGTTTCTTTCAGTTCGTGAAGACCCCATGTATCGAGTTTTTGAACATAGCCAAGTAGTTTTAAGTGATTTTCAATGCATGTATGTGATACATGAAGCTTCTCTGCAATCTCACGTGTTGTACTGTGACGATCCGAATCGATTATTGCTTTGATTAGGTCATCATCAACTTCAACTGGACGACCAGAGCATTTTTCATCTTTGAGTGAAAAATCACCAGAACGAAATTTGGCAAACCAATTTTGACACTGCCGTTCTTTTAAGGCTTCGTCACCATAAACAGCACATAACTTTTTAGGAGCTTGCGATGCGTTTTTCCCTTTGTGGAAATAAAAAAGCAAAATATGACGAAAATTTTCCTTTTGATTTTCCATTTTTCAACAAACGCCAAACGAAAACTATGCAACCGATCAAAAAACGTTTTTTACTGATTGACAGCTAAATTGCCAACTATCAAATAACAAAATGTGTTTTACATTTGTACTACGTCTGCAACCCTAAAAATTCAACTGAAGCCATCTATGAGTGAAATCCGCAATTACTTAGTTGCCAACCCAATATAATTAACATTGAGTTGTAAAGTTTTAAACAAAGTAGAATTTCTTTACAAACAATCAACCGGAAAGGTTAGTTTATTTGAAGTGCAATGCTAATTCATTGGTCATATGCTGGCCACATCAGATTTTTTTTGTGTGTGTAAGTGCTAATTTAGGTGTTTAATTTTATTTATTATTTTTATATTCAAGCAGTTATAAAAATATTTCCCTTTTGTTTGTGTGTTGCGTTTCTTGCAAGAAATATTTTTTGTTTAATTGGTATTTTTTTAATAAAAATTGGATTAATTTATCATGTACTTTTTAATAAATTTTGACTATCTGAAAGTCATAACCTTATGAAGTTTAATACCTTGTCATAAAGAATTGAAGGAACAACTCTATAAAACGCATGTAACATAAATGATTTTGCAGCTGAGAGCAGATAACTTCTGCAAGATTTTTATTTCGACATGAATAACATAGCTTCAAAAGGCTGAATTGCTTACTTTTGCAAAAATTAAATTTAAATAATAACATAGGAAATGTAATATAAAGTAGTGTAATGAAAAGTTGATATTGCATTTTAGAGACACACCGGAAAATTAATGAGATGTGTGGGTACCCACTGACTATAATGCAAACTTCACAGTATTTTTTTATGCTGTTTAATAGATTGTATAAGGAGTTCCTGTGGTAACAAAGTATATTCAAAATGAATAGGTTCTTTGAAGCTCTCGGAGAGTTGTGCGTGTGTGCTGCATCCCTAGTGCCTGTGAACCGCTCCATCTGCAAGATTCCTTTATTCTCTAGATAATCAATTACTAGTGCAGCATAGACTAGCATTATCGTCCATTATGAGGAAGTTATTTATTTCTTATTGCAGCTCTAAATAGCTTGACATATGGATCAAGAACATCATGCCTGTTCATAGTTGCCTATTCATAGTTCCCTGTTCAGAGTTCAGAGTTGCCCTAGTAAAAATATGTAGATCAGGGTACCCATTCAGAATGAAGCCTGCCCTTACTCTGATTCTGCTATCTTCATACTAATGCTTTTCACAGATATTTTCAGGTTTGTTGTATATGTTTTGCTCCTTCCAGATTTTAACATTTCTGGAACCACTCTGCAAACAAAAGCAAGACTGCAATAAAGAGAGCTCAGTTTATGATACTCTAATCATGATAATTTTTGCTCCGCAACCCAAGTTGGTGGGACACAAGTTGGAAGTTTCCTTTTATGGAACCCTAATTTATGCAACCTATCACTAAAAGTCTGTCCAGATAGTTGAGTTTGTGTAGCAGTATTGTCAGATGTCATTTGTTTGCTACTTTTAGCAGTTGTTGAGAAGAAACAATCCTGAAAGTTCACGTTAATGGGATATTTTTCAATCCTGACCAGATTTTCTGCATACATTACTAGTGTATTTAAATCTTTTTCAGTTTCTTAACTTTCTTTAACTACTTTTAGGCCTTTAGAGACCTGTGTCAGTGTTGATCTTGCGTCCAATCTCTAAATCGCATGTCATTTTTTACAATCTATCAGATGTCTTCCCAACAAAATGTTGCACTTTCCAAAATTTTATCCGATTATTCAGTGTGCTTCTTCAAATTAGAATTTAAAACTACTTGTACTCCTTTTCACAGTGTGCCAAGGAATGAGTGGAAAAATTTTATTATTTCTATGTAGTGAACTTTAATCCCATTGGTTTGTGTGATAAAAGTTAACCCTGAGCTATCCAACCAACAACCTTTCATTGTCTTCATTCAATAGAATTATATATGCGGTTACAGTTATAGTTTTATAGTTGTTCCTTTAATTTTCCCCATCAATATAATTAGTAGAGTTTATTCCTTATTTTCCAACAGTCTTTTTATATCTCAAGAAAAGACACACTGTTATCTTTAACTATATATTGAGCTTTTCCATTTGAAATCCTGTAATAAGATTAAACTTTTCCAATTGTTAAAGTTGATTTCTGTTACATGTATAATACAGTTGGCATTGTATTACACCCACTCATTAATAAATCCTTAAATTAATTTATCCAAATTCGTTAGATAAATTTTATATTTGAGATTAAGCAAAGACTGTGAAAAATATGGTTAATATTAACAATAACCACATCTTTTAGTTAATGTGATAAATCGTGCAAAATAATCACATTTACCCCTAAATATTAATAAATACCAATGACATCTGGTTGATGTGATTATTTAAGCATAATAAACCAAAATGTCAAACTCTAACTTAATTTTAACAAGTAATATGAAGTGAATGAAATTACATACATTAGCAGTTTTCTTGGGAATGAAATTTGGTCAGTGTAACACAATATTTCATAATATCATTGCTCTTATTTATCATATCAAACAAATTACATGACACACAAACAAGGTGACAAAAAATTGCATTACAAATATAATGTTATTACATTTGTAACAAACAGTAAATTCCAAATTACGCCATTATGAATACAGTATTCTTACATTTTAAGCAAATTATTTATTTTTCCAAGAAGAATGTCTGTAGAATTGAAAGTTATAAAGTGTTTGTGATTGTTTACATTTGCAGCAATTTGAGTTTCATTTGCAATATTGAAATCCTTGATCATTCGAATTAGAATCCTAATGAGCACATTAATGCCCCAAATATTGTGCACACATTGAGTAGATGATAAACAACTTTCTTGGCTTGTTTAATTTCTAACACTCATGATTGAACAAATTTCATTAAATGGTCTTGCTAAGCCATTAACTTAAAAGTCTCCATCTTCCTTGGATTGCATATCAGTGAGATATCAATTCGACATCTTGAGTTTAATTCATTTATTTTAATTGGTTCCACAATAAAACCTTTTCTTGGAACACTTTGTTTCTTTTCACAAGGTTCAGAAAGATTTAAAATATATCATTATAATCTTGAGTATAATGTTCTTTGTTTTAAATTCTCATTATTCTCTTCTGCCAGTCTTGACCAACTGCAATATAAATCTCTTAAATTATTTGAACGTTCTCCTCTCTAAAAAAAATGATAAATAACTGTGTCATTCACTTTTTGTTTTCAACTGCAACAATGAGTTTTCCATTACTACCAATTCTTGTGATACCATTTCTTAATAGTTGTTGATAATATTCTGGTGATTTGCCAGAAACCTTCTTTTTACTTTCCTTATCTTTTGAAAAGAAAAATTAATTACACTTTTCTCATGTAAGTAATTCATGGTTTTTTCATTTTTCAATTTGAGTATGTCCAAATAATTATCAAAACATGACTTCTTGGCTTTTAAATCATCATTCATTGTGCTTACAAATAAAATTTGTAAAAGTTTTAACATAGTTAAGGGAAAGACTGATGATGAAACATCAAATTGACCATATGCAGAGCATAGAACATTCAGATCTATCGAATGTGAAGTATATCCTGAAAAATGCGAGCTCCTTCATCTAAAGAAAATGTCCAACTGATTTTGTCTAGCTGTTAGCAACAGGCAAAACAAGTTTGCGCACTTGTAATAGCTATCATGTGTTCCAACAATAGTGAAGCACTGAGCAGAAAAAAAGGTACTTATGGGCAATGGCAAATCTCTAACTAAAGACATTGAAAATTATTGCATTGCTGGAAATTATTAATAACAGCCAGTTCATATGATAAATTCTCAAAAAATATTCCAATTAATCAGTTTATTTGGTTTTTATTACTACTAGCCAGATATTATTAATAATAAGCATTTAATTGCTTTGACTTATAACACATTTATTTGTTCTTTGCCAACTTATTTGAAAGATTGTATTGGAGATTGGTCCAATTGCCACACTCATGATGTAAGATAACCTGAGATAACATTACGAAAATTTCTTTTTTCATGTTTGTAAATTCTTTTGACCTACTTGTTATAATTTGTGTATTATTATTTTTAATCTGGAAAAGAGGAACTGTTAGTTGAACGTCCATAAGGTAACTTGCATGCGTTTTGAAAGATAAGATGTTATAATTAAAATTTAATTATGGAAAGTATTTTTGTTTAGTTTTGCTATGTTTAAAATTGCAAACATAATCAGTTATGTCAGTATATTTGAAAGCAAAGGGTAAATATAAAACAGTTTAATTATTGTATGCTTTATTAACAGAAGATTTTTTTCATTTCATCTACAGTACAATTATAGGTTTTTAATTTAATTTATGATATAGTTATATATTTATTAATGTTTTGATTACTGTTAAATTAACTGAAACAGGCATGCCAAAAATTTCTAGGTATTTTTATAATAATGATAGATGAAATTTTATCTGGCTTGAACAGATTTTTTTTTCCTTTCATTAAAATAATAAAAAAAAGAAAAGAGAAAACTTAATAAACTGGCATGCATTCTTTTTTATTTTATTAATTTATTTATATATTTATTTATTTTGAAGAAATGCATCCAAATTTATAATTAAAATCACTTTTAAAATTAATTTTCATGAGTAATGTTCTAACATGTGTTAATTTACTAATTAAAAGTGCTGTCCATTTAAGTTCTAAAAAGTAAATAAAAATATAAATATAATTAATAATGGTTTAAATTTTAAAAGCTTGGTCATATTAAGACAAGAGGAGTTTTAATTGTTAAAAAGAGTGGTATATGCAAAGATGTCAGTTTTATACTTATTTGTTAGTAATTGGTGCTTTATATTATTTTTACTTCATGTGTATCTTTCTGCTATTTTGTAATATTATTAATCTGCTGTCCTTTTCATCAGATAACATGTACATGTATTGATGTATATGTGCTGATCAATACATTTGATATATGTGATATATCATATGTATTGTGAGTTATAAATTGTCATATTGATATAAAAATCTTTAAAAATTATGATAAGGATGTTATTAATATAATTATTTTTATTTTGCATGGGAATTTGCCTTTATTTATTTTCAAGAATACATTACAGAAATATTTTAACTCAATTTTTCTAGCTGGACTTTGCAATCTGAAAGTAAAGTTAGTGGAATGGCTGTATTAGAAGTTGGCATACCAACAGGTTATATAATTGAACAGCATGAACTTCATGGATATGTACGCTCCCATATAGTTCGCAATTTAAGAGAAGCTCGTTTTGAAGAAGGCAAAGTGACATTTTATTTTGAATATGTAAGAAGTGTTCTAAAACTGTTGAAAATTTAAATTAAATTCTTTAAAGATTTAAAATTATATTTATGTAGAAGGATTAAATATTTTTTTTTTTTTTTTTTTACAATTTTTGTTTTTTCCAAGAAATATTATTTTAAATTGTTAAAATTTTGTAGCTTGATATAGCACCAATATGTGTGACATTTACTGTACAGCGATGGTATCCAGTTGCGAATCTGACCCAGTATTTACCTGCTAAAGTATATGATTATTATTCTCCAGGTATGTATATACTAATAAAAATCATGAAATTATTAAAAATGGATTTTGTGGTCATTTAAATTTCAAATATAATGTAGAACTGAATATCTTTCTTAATAAATTTAATTTAATGAAATTTATTTCATGTGATTATTTTACAAGAAGTCATTTTTAAAGTATTTATTTTTAAACTATGAAACTAATTTAATTACTAACATATTTTTAAATATTTTTCAGAAAATTTTAACATCATATAGATTTTTTTGTTTTTATGTGTTTAGAATATTTAAGGTGATCATTATCACTTTTGTATTCATATTAATGTGATTTGAACTGTTTGTTAAATTTGCATTTATTTATAATTTCTGAGTTTGGCTGAAGGGTATAGAAATAATTGTCTATGACTGGTGGCAAGGGAGAAGGGTTAAAAAGTCTTTAGATACCATCTGTGGAGTGAGTAACTCAATCATTATTGAAATGTTAAATGTTATTAGGTTTACGATCAATGACTTTTATCTCTTGCACTTCTTTTCCTAGACTTGAGTTAAATGAAGGAGGGAGAAGAGGAGAAAAGAAATCAGTAGCCAGTACAAAAGTATTAGATGCTAGAATAACAGTTCTGCAGCTAGTTAATTGATTAAGACAAAGAAGACAACTAATATCTTATTTGAAAATAGTTTTGGGAAAGATTTTGTTAGTGAAACTTGTTTATAATCCTATCACATATGAAGGAAACTGGGCAGAATTGAATTATGCAGCCAAAAAATAACTAAAAATAGAAATTGTGAAATAAGCAATTTAAATATAAAACTCTGATAGGTTTCCGAACTTAATACTTTAGAATTATATATTTCATGATCAGAAATTACCATTTACATGTATGCATTTTATTTCAAACAGAATTTTAAAGATTAAAGTATGAGAATTTACTTTATTCTGTGATAGCTTTCAAGAGCAATCTATTCATTTCATAACTGAATGCAGATGGTATCCTGTTTTATCTTTTATCTCATTTCCAAGCTCTTCCCTTCACTCTCCTAGATCAAAATAATTATATGAATTACTTTATCAAAGTAAGATATGGAGAGAGATTTGCTTCTTATAAGAATTCAGTGACTAGTTCTCTCTTGGAAAGTATTTTTAAGAGATTTCGGTATTAGTTTGTCACTGATTGCAAATTAGTGCATTTTGAGAGCTTCTTTCTCCATGATTATTTTTTCTCCAGGAATAAATTATTCTGCAAACTATTATTTATTAGTTTACTATTATTTTACATGATCATGTTCTTAGAAGTTAAATGTGTGTGAATAATAATTCCCTTAATTATCTTTCAGAGAGATATAATGAAACTATGATGGATATGTATAGTCTATTTGTGCTCAATATATGCCAAGTTTGTGGATCATATCAGTGTCCATATTGTCCTGTCTTCAGTTCATCATTCACCCTATGCACAAATACATATTTATTGCTTCTTTCTATAGCAACATCAACATTATTTCTGCTATGGTGTATATAGACTTTTAAATACTGTATTTATAAAATTATGAATAATTACTCCTTCATTGGAGTTGATAAGTATATGCCATATTGAACTGTTTTTGTAATATATTATAATTATGTACCATTGAAAAAAGTGGGCAGTATTCTGAGAAAACAGATCTGATGAATATTATTTCATACTGAAATAAACCATTAGTGATTTTTTTTTTCCTTTGAGAGAAAATGTATAAAGCTAATTGTATAAATTTTTACTCATTTGTTGACACTTAAATGATACATTTTCCTTTATGTAAATATATTTTGTATGTAATAAAGCCATGCTACTTGTGTGAGAAAGAATATTCAGATATTTTGCAATTTTCTTTTATTTTAAAGAAAAATTTACTGCTAGATAATGTTTTATGAACATTTTATTCATAAATGTATGTTTATTTTTAGTTTAGTTGTAAATACAATGAAGATTTATAGTTATGTATGAAATATTAGGATGTATGTAACTCAAAGTCATACTTTATTTTTATTATAAAAGTACCGATTATGTATTTTACTTAAAATTGTGTCAAATCTCAAAAAAACTTATAATGAATGTTTCTCAATGCATTAAGAATGCAACTGATGTATATAACTGTATTAACTGTTTATTCTTTCATGATTTATGTAAATTTTTTTGCCACCAGTTTTATGGGGCACTTTCCTTTATAAAGTAACTGTATACTTCCATAATTAAATTTTTCTATTGCTTTTAACATTAAGTTAAAAATTGAAAACACTTTATGATCTTGTAAAATATAGTGTTACAAAGTACATAATATGGGAATTGGATGTATAAAAGAGAATGTGTATATATTTTTTAGTTTATACACAAATTATACAGTGCTCGTAGAACAAAATCCAAGAAAATAAAACATATGTGTAATTTATAAATTATCTACAGAGGTTCAGAGGTTTTACAGTATTTTTCAGCATTTCAAAAAATATTCAGTGATTCCATGAGTCTACCTGCTTAAATGCAGATATTCAAAAATAATAAAAGGAAAACTTTTTTCACATAAAATATGGAACAAAAAATTCATTAAGTTTTTAGCCTTATGCTTCCTGTAGGTTATGATGAAATGTCAGAATTGTAAGATAAAGCAGAGTAAATTATTTAAATAGTCAGATCTTTATAAAATTGTTTTATCAGTATAGGGGATAAGATTAATTATTTAATGATTAAAAAAAGGAGAGAACAAAAGTATTATTTCATAAATAAAAAGGAGCCAGTATTATAATGCTATAATATTGATGAAACATGAGTACTTACAATTTTGGGGCATATTTAATAAAAACCTGTGCTGTATAAAGCTGTAGAATCACTGGCAATTTAAAAGCTAAATATATAAGCACTCATTCCATAATAATAAAATTTGTAAATCCACTCAAGATACAATCATCATTAGCATTATATATATATATATATATATATATATATATATATATATATATATATAATATATATATATATATCTATATATATATATATATATGATAATATGAGCAAAAACCAGAGCAGTGTCGATGCATGCTTTGATCTGTATTGAAGAAGATTTTCATTGCGTAGTATGCTAATAGTGCTAACTTGGTAATATCTAAAGAACTTGGCAGTTGAGGCAGTTTTAGTTCCATTTTTATTTGCAATTGATATTCGTGGCCCCAATCACTTGGCACTCCAGTCGTGCCTTTCCATTGAAGATTTACATCTTTGATATTGTTGAGATAGAAAGCAAGCCAGCGAAATTACATCTTAGCACAGTAGAGAGCAAAGCTGAAGTGCGTAGTTATGCAAGATGGAAGCACGCAAAGAGAAAAGTTTTGGTTTGCAATTTGGTGATTGGTCAAGAGCATCTACATTAATGGTTATGGAAGATTGCATGATTAATTTGAATGACGCAATTTAGAATTACAGCACTATTTTCAGCGGTCGCGGACACTTAGCCGACGGGACACTTAACCGACAAGGACACTTAGCCAACAGGATGTTTAACTGACATGGACACTTAGCCGACAGGACATTTAGTGGACACGGACACTTAACCGACAGGTCATTTAGCCGACACGGACAGTTAGCCGACAGGACATTTAGCCGACATGGAGAGTTAGCCGTCAGGACATTTAGCTATGGGACAGTTAACTGTCAAGACATTTAGTCAACACTAAGCTGACATTGAAGTTTAGCTGACACGTACCCAATAATTATTTAAATTTACAATCAATTACAAAATTTCCTGACTTCTCCATAAGTTTAACATTTAAGTTATTTTTTTTCACCTATCAGTAAAATTCAGTTTTCGATTCTTGAAGATCTCATACATACTTTTAATTATTGTGTTAATTTAGCAATGTTTGATATGTAGCTTGCTGTTTGGTGTATATTGGCCAAATTGAAAAAGCGCTGAAATTTCTCATCAGGAAATATGAAAGGAAAAAAGAATTTTTTTTAGCTAATTACATTTCAATATGGGATCTTCAAAAATTATCCATAATGGTTCTTCATGTAATCAGCTGGGTTCTTTTGAACACTTTCACATGACACACATTTCCCTTGTTTACTTAATGATAATAATTTTCCAATCTCGCTCTTCAAAATGCTTTCAAATTGCTAATATCTTTACGTTTCATTAATTTTTACTCATCACATCATGATACATTCTTTCACTTACAAAATCGTTTGGCTCCTTCCACTAATAAAATTTCCTTTCCCTGTCCTATGAAGCAATGCAGTTGCAGATATACGGATCCAGCCATTGGCTTACCCTGTATATAGCAAGTGAAATTACTGAGCATAACTTTTTCTATGCTAGCATTAAGTTCAGGAGATTTGAATGTGAAGCATTCAGATACCATTTTAATGAAGTAGGAGGGGATGAGCAATTATAGTTATTTGGCAGATACTGTTTAGGCATAACTTGGTTGTAGGAATATCGTGCGAAAATCCGCAGTGAGGTGGCTTCATTCATTTCGTGTTATGAAGCGCAGTTACTCGAGAGACATCATAGGCTAGACTGAACTGGCTGCTGTCCTCACCGTAGTGGGAGTAGATCGTTCTGAAAATTCTGAATAATGGAATAAAAATTATTGTTATTCTTGAATTATACTTTTTTATAGAAACATATGGCAGTGAGGGTTAGTTTAGCAAATATATTTTATTTTGTTATTAGAAATAATTTAAAAAAGTGAATTTGTAAGACAAGCAAAGGTTAAATTATTTGTGACCTCTATAATTTGCAGTTCATGTCACCATTCTTGAGATAAAAATATTGTGACATTTTATTGCCACACTTCTCGCTTAAAATACTTAATTAGGTTAATGTTTATTGCCCTAAACTAGTGCATAATGTTTAATTTAGAAGTAAAATATTCTTTAAGGTTTTGTTTTACTCCTAACTGAAGCTGCAGAAGGAGAGGCCACAAAGTAGGGCACAGCAAAGCGACACATCGTGAAAAGTCACCATAATGTAGTGCCATCTAACGATGCTAGATTTAACTATATCTATCATGTAAATAGATAATATTATTTATTATATTTTGAAAGTCGTGATGTGTAATTTTCAATATAATATGTTATATTAATATTTTTCTTATAAAATATAACTTTTCTCAATATCTGTTAAAAATGTATAAATTTTCATTTCATTTCTCATTAATTTAATTTTTTTTCTCTTTCATTCCTTCTCTTTCTTGTTTTTGGTTTAGCGGCCACCTAACTGAAGTAAGTTTGGTTTATGTAATTACGGCAAAGGCAGAGGGCTATTTGCCTAAGGGAAGGGATGCCTTCGTGAAGGACTTTCTAAGGAAATCTGCCTCGTATACATGTGGGAAAAACCATGAAAACAACCTGTTTGTTCGCGGTATTCAAATTCGGACTGAACTGCCAGTGTTTAATGACTTTACCGCTCGGCATCTGCTGAGTCTAACAGAAATAGAGTGACCGTTTTACTTAATACATAACCAGTCTCTTCCAATGAAAATTGCCTTTTTAAGCTAGAAATTTATTAATACATTCAGGAAAATGGGCACCAAAAATTTTTCCATTACCATGTAGCTAAACCGAAAACGAGAAAGAGAAGGGATGTAAAAGAGAAAAAATAAAATGAATGAAAAATGAAATGAAAATTTATACATTTTTAACAGATTTTGAGAAAATTTATATTTTATAAGAAAAACATTAATATAACATATTATGGTACTTTTCCGTTTTGCCGGCACAACCAATAAAGTCGCCAATAATGGTGCAACTGATGCCAAACGGAATATCCTCACTGGTAACCTTTTACGCCTCATTTTCCAAACAACTCGCAGCCATTTCATACCAGATTGATTGTTTCTTTCAATACTGGCATACATTACATAGATTTTATCAGATAATACAATTTTTAGGCCCTAAGGCCATTTGTGGTAATTAAGTTTAGGATGTAGAGGGATAATTACTAGCGAAGTAAGAACTGGTTTTTTGTTTTACAATGTTTTGGTTTGTGTGGTTCTTTTTTGTTTTTTGTGTCCTTAAGAGTTAACTTGAAATTTATAGATTGTAGAGAGAATTATACTTTTTATCGTAGTTTGTGTTTTTTAGTTCTTGTGGTCACGTGATGTGTCCTTGCGAATTGATGTTTTAGATGATTTGGATAATTCTTAGTTTTGTTTTTGTTGTTTTTATGCTTTTTCTTTGTTATTTTTAGTCTTTTTTTTGTATTTTTTGTTTTTGCTTTTTATGTTTTCCTTTTTAACGTATTCGTTTCGCTTCAAAATTTCCTTAGTTGTACTTGTTTGGTGGGGCCTTTTGGCTTCAGTTACGTAAAACAAACTTTTTTTTACTTTAAGCATTAGCTTTTTTTTTTAGCTTAAGTAAGGTTTTTAAGCTTTGCTAAATGTTTTCAATTTTTTACTGGTTTTTATTTATGGTGCTTCCCTTACGGTAATTGTTTTTAATCATTTTTTGCCGTTTTGTCGGTGACAGGGCAGGTATTTTCTTAGAGTAGTGATTTTTTTTCAGGTTTTCCTGGATCCTTACTGTTTTTAATTGGTTTTTTTGATGGAAGGATTTTGTGCGTGTGATATAAAGTGTTCACTTTGGTTTTTCTTTTTGGAAACTTTGAAATTTGTTGTTCCTGCCAAAATTTTAATGATGTTTTTGCTTTGAAATTGAATTTTTACGATAATTTTTTTTCCATGTGGGAATTGTTCAGTGGCCGATTAGCGTTAATGTCTTCCTCTTTCGAAATTGGTTCATTTCCTTGGAGAATTTTCACAGTTGTTTTTAATGTGGTTGTTTGCAGACAGCCTGTCGGTATAGTCTTTTTTTGAGAAATTTGGTTAAGTCGCAAGACAGTTCAAGTTTGTCCGTATTTTATAAACTCTGTATTTTTTTTTTTTATTTATTTTTTTTTTTTTTTTTTTTTTTTTTTTTTTTTTTTTTTCTTTGAATGTGTCTGCTATAAAATAAATTTAAAAACTAAATAAAAATTGCTAAAGTCTGTAGGCAAAAACATTACTGTAATTGAAAATATCTCTAAATCATTCTAATTGAAAATGGCTAAAGAATTTTACTGTACTGAATTTGTTGTACGTAATTCTTGCATTTAACTGTAAATTAAGAGACAATAATTGTAGCTAAGATGATCACTTGTTGTTAAGATTTCGTGTAATTCTTAAATTAATGTCTTTTTACAAATTTATTGTCTA